GTCACCACGAAGCAGTGCTGAAGGAAGAGGGTAGAGGCGGCGAGAGAGGGGGATGAGGGAGCCAAGAAGGGGACTCAAGGCAGCCAAGCGCATTACCACAGGAATATTAACTGCCCCGGTCACTTCTCCCAGTCCAGGAAAGGCCATGCCCATAAATTAGGGCCATGAGTCTGCCAGGCAGACTTAATGAAGAAGGAGATGGACCTCAGTGAGAGCAGACAGTGCCTCTGGAGGTCACAAGTCCAGCCCCAGTCTGGAGAGAAGGAACCTGGAGCCAGGGAAGGGCAGGGGATGTCCATGGCCAGGGGTGGAACAAACCTAGTAGGTAAAAGCCGGCTCTTAGGTGTTCATTGCTGAATCCCCAGCACCCAAGCACACAATGGGGCCTATCCTGTGTTTCTGACTGAGCAGGGACCAGACGACACGGCAAGTCATGCTGAGCTCAGACTGAACGCCAGCCCTCTGGACTCCAGCTGGGCCCTTGCTGGTTCTCATCCCAGAACTGAGGGGCCTGGGGAGGAATGGGGTCGCAGAAGTAAATGCCTCCTCAAGGAGATGGTTATCATGGCTCTCCTCTGTTTTTGAGAGGAAATTTCAGGTTTCACAGGGTCACCAAACCCCAGGAAGTCTGACGGGTTTCTTGCCTCAGAGCCGCCTCCTGTCTGTCACATTTCTGACAGTCACACATCTTTTTTCTCCCTTTCTACCTGCTCTCTATCCTACCTGCTCTTAAAAAAAAAAAAAAAAAAAAAAAACTTGGCTGTGCTGAGTTTTAGTTGCAGAACTAGTGAGATCCAGTTCCCTGACCAAGGATGGAATCCCAGGCCCCTGCATTGGGAGCACAGACTCCTAGGCACTGGACCACCAGGGAAGTCTTTACCCTACCTGCTCTTTAAGGGCACATCCTGGTTGGAGCTTCCCCCCGGCACTTGGCCCCTGCAGTCCCCTGCCTACCTCACACTTCCAGCAGCATTCACAGCATCTGATTAGAGGGGGAGGCTGGCCATTCGGTGGGTCCTTGGTGCTGCTGAGAGGGTCTGCAGTGAGGGGGTGACATTAGGGTGTCAGGGGAGAACCAGCCAGACGCCTCCATCTCACCTTTTTCTGCAAGGCCTCTTTGCGGCCCCTCCCCTTACCGCCATGCCCATCTGGCCTCCTGTGGACACAGCTTAGCTGATTCCTCTGTCTCCTGTGCTCAGCATGAGGATTCCTTGCCACAAAAAGAAGGAGCAAGCGAGAGAAGCATGCAGTTCTCCTGGCCCACATATCGCATCTCCCTGCTTCCCTGGGTTCTCCTCTGAGGGTGGAAGTCCCTCTAGTGCAGTGGAGAGTGAGGGGAATGCAGAACCATCTTACCCACAAACATCTTCCCATCTACCCCAGCCATAAACGGTCTTTTTGAATTCTCAGATTAATAGATCTTCCTGCCTCCACGCCTTTGCAGAAGCTGATTCTTTTGATCCTTCTCTGTGCAGCAAACTCCTATTCATCCTTCAAAACCCTGTTCGAACATGACTTTAAGAAATTTCCTTAGGCTGGGTACAGGGGCCTCTACTCTGAGCACGCAGTTTCCTGTGACTTCGTTTCTCTAGAATTTGATTGAATGTAATTTCTCCCCCAGGTCATTAGCTTTTCTAGGACTGGCGAAGTTGTATTCAGTAGAGAGTTAGCAAATGGCTGGATCTGCAGAAGAGGCTGGGGCCCCTGAGGACCTGCTGATCATGCCATAAAGCCCAAGGCCACTGCAAGACTGCAAGAGAAGCAGCTCAGAGACAACATTTAATGGGAATCAGTGAATGACACTAAGGTTAAATGTCAACTAGCATAACTTAGGTACTCAATTTGTTGATTTTTGACAACTATTGATTTGATATTTAGCTTAGCATCAGCTCTCTCATCTAAAACCCTCAAGGATTTTTGCTGACAGTGAGCCACAGCTAGTAGTATGTTTTATATGCCAGGACTTACTGCAGTCTTAGGTTACAGTGCCAGAGGACATGTCTTTGGAACTGAGGGTGGGGGTGACCTGTTAGAGATACAGTTCTCTAACCTTGTTAGAAACCATTACTATTTTGTCCTGTGGGACTGGCGGGGCACTCTTTGAGGGCCACTGACAGATGGAAATGCTTCAAAAGAATTTAACCCTTTCTCATGAGGAATGACTGAGAGCAGGGGTAGGGAATTTGCTTGGAGAATATAAGGAGACTCGTACACTGCCAACCACTCGGAGGAAAGCCAGCTGGGGTGAGGAGTGTTCCTGGCCTCAAGGCAAAGCTGGGACTGTCAAGGAGTCCCAGGTTGCTTTCTCTGGCCCTAAAAGTGGAAGGGAGGGATTGTGCTCCTCACAGAGAGAGGGTGCTCCTTGCTGACACAGTTTACCAGGTTTCCCACATCACCTCAGAGGTCCCTTTCAATGTTTAGAAGACATACATTCTAGAACCTCAAGATTCTAAAATGCCAGAGTTCTAGACATTCGCCCTGCAGTCCCAGGGCTCTGAGACCCTAAATGCAAAATAATCCAACCTGGGGACCTTGGGGAGGAGAGAGCCTCTTGTCCTGACCCCACTGACCTAGAACCCACCTGTCTTCTTGTCCATATATCTCAAGGGGCTATTTTACACACAGACACACACACAGACGTCTAGGCTGCCTCCCCTCAGCCTCTCATATATTCAAGGTGCAGGTCTTAGCCCTGCAGCCAGGAGAGCATGGCATGAGACAGGACATAAGGGAGGATCAGGTAATTCAACAGAGGTGCTGTGCTTAGTCGCTCAATTGTGTCCGACTCTTTGACACCCCATGGACTGTAGCCTGCCACGCTCCTCTGGCAAGAATACTGGAATGGGTTGCCATGCCCTCCTCCAAGGGATCTTCCCAACCCAGGGATCGAACCCAGGTGTCCTGCATTGCAGACTGATTCTTTACCATCTGAGCCACCAGGGAAGCCCAATTTAACAGAGGAGATGATGCCAAAGCAGCAGATCACGCGTCCTCCTCTTTACTGCCTGAATTAACTGCCTCTGATTCTCTGTAGCTGGACTTCCTCCCTTGACAGCCTCATCCGATGCTAGTTAATTTATCAGTCTAACGAAATCACCCCCACGACCCCCCACTCCACTGAGTGTTGAGGAGTCGAAGGGTACGAGGATGAAGAGGAAGCATAGGGTCCCACCCTGGCTGTGGATAACTCTACCTCAGAATGAAAAGCAAAACTGGTTTGGAGAGCCATGCCATCCCAATGGGAAGTCCCTCCATATGTCTAGCCCCAATCCTACAATGTGCGGTCAGAGCCCGTTTTTTCCCCCACAGTCTGAGAAAAGACATCAAGAGTCACTGCTTCATCTCAGGAAGGTCCAAAATGCTCTAAGTGTCCCCTCCCACCCCCTTCAGTGACCCAGGTCAGCAAGAATGACATGGCACCACTTCCAAGAGCAGAGTATCTGAGACTATTGCAGACTTTATAGAAAACTGCCCAAAGGAGATCCAGATTTCCGGGGGCGAGGGCGGGGGGAGGCCTCAAGCCAATATGTTGGAGGAGGGTGACTTCCTGTGTGCAGAGGCAGCACAGGCCAGCCATTCTGCTTGACCTAGGGGTGGGAGTCAGGGAGAGGTAGCCCCCTCCCACTCGCCAATTGTGCTTTGGGATCATGCAGAAGGCAAGGCGCTGAGGCTCTGACCCTGGACAGGAGGGCTTGTGCCTGAGACAGGAGGAGAGGCCCCCTTCCTCTTCCAGAAGTCATATGGGGCAGGGGGTGGGCAAGGATGGCAAGGCGGCAGCGAGGAAACCTCAGGGGAGAAGACTCACATGGGTGGGAAAGAGGATGTGGCCAACAGCTCCCAGCCCTTCAGAGCCTCCTCCTCCACCCCTCTCTGTGGCACAAAGGTCAGCTGACCCTGCTTCTAAGGTCAGCCCATCTACTTTGCACCCCCAGGACTCTCTCCTCCAGGATCTCTCATGAGGATCTGCTAGCATGGTTGGGGGCAGGGGGCGGTGCTTGGTACCTGCCTGTTTTGCAGGGCTAGAGAGCTCATCCTAAGAGGAAAGGGGAGGGGGGTGGGCATCTTCTAGGGATGGAGTCCTCACTGGACCTGACCCAGTGAGTGGCAGATGTGGGTACTGAGTGCAAGCAATGGGTGTAGAGAGAACTGAGAGCCCAAAACTTGGGTAGAGGGATGAAATTCAGATCGGGGTGAAGAGCTGAGAGTCTCAGATTGGGCACAAGGACTGAGTATTGGGGTATGAGAGCCCAAAGTGGGAAATGCTGACGATCGGCTCCACACTAAGGGTTTAACTGGGGTGTCCCTGTCCCTGTGATGGGAGAGTTAGGAGCTGAGCGCTAAGCCTGGGCCAAAGAGGGGCTTGAGCTAGAGCTGGGGTGGTGGGTGGTATGAAATACATCCTCAGATTGGGGGAGGGTGCCCAGCCCTCAGAGCCCCCAGATGGAGGTCTGTATGCAGGATGAGCTGGTATAAGAGAAAAAGGCTCAAAGTCTACAAAAACCTTCTGAAGGGGGTGCTCTGAGACTAGAATGGGATGTGAGGGCCCCTGAGCCCTAGAAGGGAGCTGCGGGCTGCAAGCTGGAGTGCAGTTTAGGGGGATGTTTCCTGCTGAGAGGTCTGGGTTCAAAGCACAGGGTGGTGGAAGCAGTCTCAGGGCCTTGGGATAGAAAGACAGGGTCTCCGAGTGAGTCCTGAAAGGGGGAAGGGGCTTCGGGTGGTTCAGGAGGGCTGTCAGAGCCTGGGATGAGTGAATGGGGCGTCCTGGAATCAGAAGAGGGTGTCTCTGGGTCTTCGATGGTGACAGCTCTCAGAAGCTGGGGAGAAGGGGTACAGCTCCAGGCCCCTGGATAGGGGAGATGCCACAATCCAAAGGTCTCAGGGCAGGGGCAGGTCTCAAAGCCTCAAGCTCGCGGGTGTCCCATACCCACGGTCTCGGGCGAGGTGGCCTCAGTAAGGTCATCAGCTGGCTGGGGCAGTCCCCAAGTCAGAACAGGCGAAGCTCAGAGGCCCGAGCCCGGGGAAGTGGCGCGAGAGCCGGCGGGGGCTGCCGGGGCGGGCGCGCGGCGCGGGTCGGCGTCCTGCTCGTAGCGGTAGTGGTAGCCCTCCATCTGGTCCCGGCACGCCTCACGCAAGTTGCGCATCCAGCGCTGGATGCCGCGGCGGTTTAGGTAGAGCACCATAAGGAAGATGAGGCCGATGAGCGCCAGAACCAACCCGAAGAAGACGTAGGAAGCTTCCAGCTCGGGGCCGGCGAGTTCCACTTCATCCCCGCGACCGTCGGCATCCCCGTCGGCGCAGCGCAGCCGCGCCTCGTCCAAGTCCAGGAAAGGCAGATTGTGCAGCGCCCGCGGGGCGGCGCAGCGCAGGCGCCGCGCGTCGGGTACGCGCTCCGTGGCGTTACGCAGCCAGGCCAGCAGGGGGCGTGCGGCGCAGCCGCAGCGCAGGGGGTTGTCGGCGAGCAGCAAGCGCGGCGCGGGGAGGCCGCCATCGCTTTCGAGCACCCGCAGCTCGTCGGGGTCCAGGCCGGCCAGCGCGTTGAGGTGCACATCCAGCTGCTCCAGGCGCGGCCGGCGCAGAGCGGCGGGAGGCAGGCGGCTAAGTGCGTTGCCCGCCAGGCCCAGGAGGCGCAGCTCGTCGAGCGGAGCGAGCGCGGCGTCCAGCGCGGCCAGCAGTGCGGGGCCGCCCCGCGCCAGCGCGTGGTTGAGCTGCAGCGAGCGCAGCGCGGGCAGCCCGCGGAAGGCGCCGCCGCCCAGGGTGCGCAGCGGATTGTGGCTCAGGTCGAGCGCTGTGAGGCTGGGTAGCCCGTCGAAGGCGCCGTCCTCCACCACCTCGATGTTGTTGTGCGTGAGGCGCAGCGCGGTCAGGTGCGGAAGGCGCACGCCGCCCTCCGCTGCCTCCTCCCCGTCCGCGTCCCCGCCGGCGAAGGCGGCCGCGCGCAGCACCGTCAGGTTGGCGCCCACGATGGTGAGGTTGCGCGCGTCGGGCGGCACGTCCCGCGGCGGCTGCCGGAGCTCGGCGCCGGACGCGCAGCGCAACATCAGCTTGGGGCCGCCGAAGCAGTAGCACTGGAAGGGACAGGGCGCGGCGGGTCGGCTCAGCGCCGCCGCCACGAGCAGCAGCCCCGGCAGCAGCGGGCCCCTGTGCTCCGGCTGTCCCGCGCGCGGGGCCATCGCAGCTGCCCCCACATCCAGCGCCCGGGTCGCGGCGCTCACCAGTGAGTTCGGAGCGCCTTGGGGGCGGGGAGGGGGGCGGGTGGGGCAAGTCCTTGACTCGGAGCGCCCGGCGGTCGTGGTCCTTCGGTCCGCTGGCTCTAGAGTCCGAGGAACCTTCACTTTCCTGGTTGGGGCGAGAGGGGACAGGCAGGGAGCGGAGCCCCCCGCCCCCGGTGCCCTCTTCGCCCTGCGCACCGGCCTCCGACTTCCGCGGCTGTTCTGGGCTCAGAGCCGAGTGGGCAGGGTTTGCCTCCCCCCTCCCCGCCTCCCAGCCGCCTCCTCCGCCCCCAGCGGTGTCTTCGCTCCCTCCTAGCGGAGAGGCGGGGTGGGAGGCTCCCGAGAACCAGGGCTTTGGGCTGCTGCTCTTGTTCTTCTCCCTTTCGGCTCCCGGACTGCTGTGAAGTTTGACTCTCCGAGGTTCTGACTTAGTTCCCTCTCATCTCCCCCACCCTCCGCGTTTAAGCTGGTTCCTTCCTCTTACCTCTCAGGCACGTGTGGGGCGGGGCGGGGCCGGGCAGGGGAGAGCCGGCAGGTGGGTCAGCATCTCCAAGGGAGAATTTAGGGGCAGGATTTTAGAGTTCCTCCTCCAAGTGCAAGCAGGGATGAGGGGTCAGCTGGGAAAGTTCCTCGTTTTTCAGCTGCTTCCTAATTCCTGTGATCAAGGAGAGGGCTGTGCTAGGAGAGGAAAATCCCCAGCTTCAGCCCCCTCTTCTGCCACCCCAGTTACATCTGGTCTGGCTCTGTCAGCATCCCTGCACGTTCCGGGAGACCTCCGTCTTTTCCACCCCACCCCACCTACCCGAGGAAGTCAAGACAACCCCCTCTTCCTTCCACCCCTCCTCCCCCCAAGTCACTGGCTGCTCCGCCAGGATTTCTTCCTCCACCAGGCTGGACTCCTCCCCCAAGCACTCTCCTAGACCCTGGGACCCGGTGGGTGTGGTGATTCAGCTCTTTGCTGCCCCCTACCTTGCCCCAGCACCTTGGATCCCTGCTTGGTTGTCCTGGGTCTCAGGATCTTAGGGTTGTTGGATGACATCAGCTGCCCCTCCTCCTCTCCAGGGTACCCCACCTGTAAAAGGTGAATGGGTAGCAGGGTTTGGGGCTCTGGAGGTGGTGAGACCAGGAGCAGATTTTGCACTGTTGGAGTAGGGGGTCTCAGAAGGGACCAAGGCTGAACTGTTTATAGGTTTGTTTTGTTCTCGATTCTCTCCCCACCCCCCACCCCCCAAGAATTGGGAAGCTCCAGGCCTGATTTAAAGAGACAGGCTTCTGAGAAGGGAGCTCTCCTGGCCTTGGCATGAATTATTCAGGCTGTAGAAGTTGACACCTGATCCTCAGGCCCTTCTGGTATGAGCAGAGCTGGTTGGGATAAAGGCTCCCCCCAATCTAAGAAGCAGCCTCTTTCTCCTGAAATTAGGGATTGCTGGGTTGACTCCTTCCCTGAAAGTATATTTAACTGATCAACCAACAGATCAATACCACCTAAGGAGAGGCCTGGGTCTCAGACAGGGGTCAGTGTTGAGGTCCAGGGCTGTTGATGCTGGGGGTGGGAGGAAGACCTCACCTTCTCCTTCCTGCTCTCTCTCCTGTCCCTACTGTCACTCCCAGGCTTTGGCAGATGAGAATAGTAACTTGCACATGCATATTGGACATGTCTTTTCAGAAGTGGGGTTGTACACTCACATGTATGTGTAGAAGCAAACTTAACATGTAAGCAGGCCTAGGTGTGTCCGCCTGTGAGCACATACACACACTCATGCTCACTTGTGTGTGCCTACACATCCACAGGAAGGCTTGCATAAGCTTGTGTACAGCTCCAGGCAGGATCAGATGTGCTTCTTATATGTACTTGCAGGAGCATTCATACATGTGCACATGTGAACGTAGATTTAAGTGCATTCTGGTATGTGTCCGTAGATTCATAAGCACATACATATTTGAACATTCATACTTCTGGGCCCATGCAGGTACCTGGGTGTGTTCTCAGAGGGACAGACTTATGCAAGCACATGCATCCAGAGGTCGGCCAACACACTCTGAGCCCACTCCTGCCCTCCGCCACACCCTTGGTCCATGGAGTTAACAGGGTGTGGTGTTTTTTCTTATATGGCACAAGAGCTCAAGCAGGCCATAGATGCTGGGCCCTCAGCTTTGCATTCACCCCAGCCCTGGCCCTTGTCAACTCCAAGCCCCAGCTCTGACATCTTCCGCAGTGCGAGGCACTGGCTCTTCCTCACTGTTGTGTTTCTGGTACACAGACTAGTGCAAGAGACTATGCAGTAAATGTTTGTAAATGAATGAGTGAATGAAAAGGTCTTTGGTTTCCTGTCCTGCTGCGTACAGCCCCTTCAGCCTCCAGCCACTAAGACATCAAAGGCCAGCTGTCAAGGCCAGCTCTCCCTTCTCAGGCCCCGTGGTGGCTGGTTTCTGATTGGCTGATGGCCCTCCAGGGGAAGCCCTGCAGGGGAGCCAGCAGCTTTGGTGGTGGGGATGGGGATATGTGTGCATTTGTTAGACACCTCTGTTGGGGAAAGGAGGCCCAGAGAGAACCTAGGACCATCAAATGACAGAGAACAAGGCAGTGACTGTTTTATAAATGGGGTGGTGAGGCCAGAGGCCAGGGACTTGTGAAAAAACTTGTGGTCCTCGGGGCTTTGCCTGGAAACCTGACCCCAGCTCCTGGCCCAGGGCTCTGTCCAAGGTGGTAGGTGTGTCTGAGTGGCCAGCACCACAGGAAAATCTCTTCTTGACCCCAGGGATCTGAGGCCAAGATAGGGTCTGAGGCAGGTAGGGTCTGGTGTGACCTTGGACCTCTCTCCACCTCTGGGCTGTCAGCTTCTATTTCTGCAGAGTAGTTGGGCTTCTGAATCTGTCATTTCTGGTCCTTTTAGAGCTATTGTGATAATGTGAAGGGAAAATGTTTTGAAACAAGAAAAGCCATATCATTAGGGTCTAGGCACTTAGCACCCATGTGACTCTGGGTGAGGCATTGCCCTTTTCTGGGATTAATTAGTTTCCATGCTTTTTGGCTCTGTTCCATCTTCCTTCATCCCCCAACACCTTAAATTCATGGTAGATAGTACAAGGAATGAGTCTCCATTTGCTGTCTCTCTCTATGCCTCTACCCTGCCTTCTCCCCTGTCTCCCCTCTTTCTGCAGGTGTTTCTTATCTCTGTCCAGTTTCCCTTGGAACCAAGTCTGTGAGCCATTTGGGGGGTCTCTTTTCTCTGGAGGAACAGCCTTCGGCGTCTTGGGAGTAATCAGTGTTCGGTATGTAGTGGGTGTTCAGTAAATGCATTCAGTAAATGCGTCGTGAGGCTGTGTGTTTACTCCCTGAGGCACCCCATGGATTGCTCACTGTTTGACTCTCATGGGGTTGACTCTCATAGGGTGCTCTCTCCCCTTGATTTGTTTCCTCCAGTCTGGCCTCCTGTCCTTCAGGGCTCAACTTGAGTTCTGTCTCCTCCAAGAAGCCTTCCTGGCTTCCTTCTCTCTCCTTTGAACTTCACACTGAGTGATCAGAGGGCTAGAGCTGTCCTGAGCCCCTTGACTGTCAGCAGCTAGAGCTCATGACAAGTCTAATTTCTTGTGTTGTCAGCACACAGCTTAGAGCTCAGCATGGAAAAGGCATCAGGGAACATTTACTAAGTGAAATAATTATTTAAAAGTCTCTGGCTCGATCCACCCCTGTGAAGCAGGCTAGGTGAGGATCCTTCACCTATGCTTTACACCAGGAGACAGCTGCCCAGAAAGGTTAAGTACTTTCCTCAAGGTTGCACAGCTAACTGGAACCCGAGCCTGATAGGAGCTCAGGTTTCCTGCTCATCTTCTCTGCCGCAGCCCTCCCCATCCTAGGTTCTCTCTCTAGGGAATGTGACTGGGTCAGATCCCAGGGGAGCCTGTGGGCAAAGAGCTCAGGCCCTCAGGGTTTCCTCAGAACTCAGCAAACAGATCACCCCAGCCCCACCCAGGCAGAATGATCGTGTCTGCCATGTGCCAGGCTGTGAATCAACCATGTCAGCCTCGAGGGACCTGAATTCTTGAATTTGTTACCCCGCTAGGTCCCAGAGCCCCTCTCAGCCTTCCAAGGAGCTGTCCCTCACCTAAGCCCCAGTTCCTACATCCTCTTCTCCCTGCAAAGGCCCTACCCTCTGTACACTCCACTAAGCCTTTATAGCGAAACTGGAGGGGTGTTCAGCTTCCCTGAGGTCGCCCAGCAGGTACCTCTTACCCATCTGCCTCCAGCTCCATTTTCTCCCTTAGGGGCGACTTGGTGTTACTGGAGCCTGTGGGCAAGTGTGTCTTTCCACCTCTGTTTCCCTGTTTGCAAAGGTGTATGTGTGTGTGTGCAAGGGGATGATCTTGGAAGGCTTTTAAGTACTGTGCCCCATGGCCTTTTAGGGACGAGGATCCTGGAGCTGCCCAAGCTGGTGCCCCCATCTTTTCAATATGTGACCTTGAAGTTGGCCGCACCCTTAATTATCAAGTGTGCTAGGATGTCCTGCGGCTCCTCCTAAGTCCCCTGCTATAGCAGCCTGCAATCCAGGCTCCCTCTTTCCTGGTTGCTCTCCTGCTGCCTGCCTTTCCCTCTGCTCCCCCTTCCTCTGAGGCAAGTGGAGGAGCAGCCTGGCAGGCCTGACATGATGAAGCTCAGTCATTAGGTAGTGGGGGAGGCCCCAGGTTCTCTCCTGTATCTCAGGCTCTGGTGGGGAGGGGAAAACTCCACTGCAGGCTTTACTGTTCCCATTTCTCACTCCCCCCTCCCCCACCCCACTGCCACGAGACACAGGAAAATCCATAGACCCAAGATCCATTTTCTCCATTGAGTCAGCAGAGGCCACGCTCTGCTTCTGAGGGACTGGCAACCGGCTTTTAAATAACTCTCAGATATTTAATACCCTCCTCCTCCACTCTGTGGCCAGGGCCTCTGGGGAAAGCCTAGAATAAAAGTTGGATGA